TAATGTTTGCCTTTCTATTACTAATAATATTAAAGCAATCGTTATAATACTTTTTTGTATACATTTTAATTCCTTTGTTTAACAGTTATATCTGATTATTAGATAGACTTCTACCTATATTAGACAGAACTGAACGACGACAGTGAACAAGAGAGAGAATGTGAGCGGTGTGCGCTCAGGCGCTGCCGTTCTCAGCGCCGTCAAAATAAAAGTCTCGAACACATCTGCCAAACAGAAAAACTTATCGGCCAATGCCGATATTTGAAAAATGCCAAATATCGGCCGATATACCGGTCGACCACTACTGACTTTAACTGAAAAATTGACTGTTTACTATTGTCCTCCTACATTATAGACACACTATTTTCCTGTGTAATACCGCAAAGCTGCTTTGCCACAATCTGTATTGTATAAAGTGCTATATGAATAAAGGTGACTTGACTTGCATTCACACTGTCCCTGACCTTCCCAATCACTCTGTTGTTTTAAATAAAAGAGTAAGACGTTTTACACAATTTAGCAAAAGCTTCATCGTATAATATGTCAAATAAACGTAACCTGGAGCGATTTGCATTTCCAATGCACGATACAATATACCAGTAAGAAAGCCACACTCAGAAACACCTCCTGAGTCAATTCTGAACATTTAACAAATCGTAGGCAACATTCTTGTAAAGTACTCTGAGAGCCCTGAAAGAAAGTGTGAGAACATGTCACGTGTACACTGAAATGCGCTCCCGCTGTAAGAGTGAGCCTACTGAACATCTGAACAAACAGCCAAACAGATGGATGCCTGTTGTGAGATACAATCAAATGTTACTTCAGCAAGCAAACTGTTTAAGACATGCTGCAGGTTGCCCACATTTGATGCTTAGAAAACATTAATGAAAAGAAAAGAGGTGGTGAAGAAAACTATTGTTAAAAGACTGTTTGCGTAAGTCCAGCTAGTCAGACTTAAATTTCCAGCTAGTAACTGGAAACTCCTGGCCAACATCCTACATGAGTACTCAAGAGACAAAAACACAAACAAATAAGTGTGCACAAATCAACATAATGGCATTTACAGGCTGAACACCAATATCCACATCCGGGGTGGCAAACATTCAAAGAAACTTTAGGGCTGTGATGTTAAAGGGCTGTGTTAACAAGTTTCACCCCTCTGATGTCATTCTCAACCACAGCCCACCGCCGGCAGTCTGAGATATCTTCAATTATGTTCACTCTTCCCATCGTAAGGCTGTTGCTTCTTATTAAACAGACAGTTATGAAGCTCTGTATAGTGCGTGTGTGGTATTTATGTACTTCCAGCTACTGAAAACACATGAATTAATTCAGAAATACAACAAACGCCCATCTGGACCAAAAAACAAATCAGGAAGAGAAGGACCAACCAGTTCCCTCTGGTTTATCCTGTGGATTTTAGCATTACCTCCAGCTCACTCTAAGGTTATGGGTTAAACGCACACACAAACACACACTCTTCCCTCGGCTACCGCAACGGTGAGTCATCACTCCATTCACGTCACTGACAGACAACAGCTTCCAGTGACAGACCAGTGCACAGCAGCCCCACTCGCCCTCACGCTACTCTTCCTCATCAACTCCTTCCTCTCTGAGAGATGTGAAGCTTGCGTCTAAATTTAGCTCTTGCCCCTCTTTCTGAAAGGGAATGGATTCTTTGTCCCACAAAGACCTTGGCATGTGTCAACAGTAGGACTGTGCTGAAACACGTTCAGAATGGCATATTATGGCTGCTATAGCTTATCAATTACATTTTGCTTCTTTAAAAAAAACAAAAAAAACGTTTAGTTCAATCAAGAATAAAGACACAAATGATTCTGCATTACAGTGATAACATTTAGCAATTCCCTCGGCAAATGACAAAAGCCAAAATTTTAATATACTTTTAACACGTTTCCATGCTATTTCAGTGAATGCAAAAATGCAAGAAGGAAGCACACTACTTATTCAGGAACAGGACCAGTCTGATTCATTAATCCTAATGAATCAATCGGACTGGTGCAATCAACACATCTGGCTCATAAGAATATTTTGTTAATAAATTGGACATGAACGACGTCACAATTTGCTGTAATTGGTTGGAAGAAAAGTGACCAGTATATTCTTCAAAGTATTGTCTTTAGTGTTTAACAAAAGAACAGATTTGGAACCAGATTAGGGCGAGTGAATGATGACAGAACTATTCCTGTTGCCGCCACGTAATGATAAATTCAAGCATTTTATAGACTATAGTGTGAACAATTCTTCCAAGTAATTTTTTCTTTCTTTCAGTGAGACAGCTCACATTCATTTTTGAGTGCAATGCCCATCTCTCAAAATCCAACCAATGGATTAAACAAAGTCCCAGCCAACATTTTTGTCTTTGGATAATCCGTTACTATGTACTAACTGTATGTCACAATTCATAAGAAAAGATCTGTCACTGCTTCTGTTTCACTGCAACTTTAAGGGGTTTCTATTTCAGTCACATCGTGCTATGTAGTCCAGCTAATAAAGAAATGTCATTGGCCTAAAATTCCAAATCTACATAACTTTAAAGTTCAAACATTCCAGTATATTCCAGAACTTCTACTTATCTAAAGTTATTTTCCTAAAACATCGGTGTGTAGACAGACACACTATCATAACTAAAAAGAGGTTTGAGTCCACTTAAAAGTCCAGTTACAAATCAATGCAAAGATTTTTTTCCTGAAAATGGATTGGCTCTTAATTTTAAACTCTCCAAGTACACCAGATTGACGCATTTAACTTGAAAATGTACAAGATTTTGGCTACGTTCACACTGCGAGCCTTAGTGCTCAATTCAGATTTTTGCTCCGATCCAATTTTTTTGTATAGCTGCTCACATTGTTGTTTTAAATGTGGCCAATATCAGATTTCCAGTGTGAACAGATCGTGGTTCTGAACTGATCCGCATACACAAAATAACTATATGAACAGGGTTGCCAGGTTTTCACAACAAAATCCACTCAACTGCAAACTAGTCCAAAACTAGGCCAATCGCACTGGTACAAAAATCCCTTACAGGTCTGATAAATATCACGTTAGTGGGGTCGCTTTAACCCACGGAGTTGAAAAACAACCCGCGGCAACAATGAAAAAGTAGACCAATTCCGCGGGAAAACTGTGGAGTTGGCAACACTTGCCCAGCACGCTGTCATATGGAAGTAAACACGGAGGACATAAAGTAAGCGATTATGCGTTTATTTATAGTGTGATCTGCCACAGAAGCCAGCGAAATTATGCGCAGGCAATATGTAAAATAAAGACAAGGATATGACAGAAGAGAGCAAAGTTTTGAAACTTTTACTATGCGACGAGCCCTCATGTTTTGCTTGTATATAGAGTTGTCACTGTAATACTTATGAGCTCTGACACGTCACTGTACTTCCACTGACTACCTTTTGCAACAATCATGATAACTTTTGGTATGTAAAATCATTGAATTGACTCCCATGAGCGCAGAATCATGACGAATGTTGATCTAGAGTGATGTAAAAGATGCATGAATTCCAATGACATGGTTCAGACTGCGGTCGCATTCCAAAACATCTGACCTGTATCGGATTTAGTACCACATATTGAAGTGGCACAAATCAGAATTGAAAAGATCAGATTTCATGTGGTTTGTGCTGTTCACACTGTCATGAGGAATACAGATCTGAAAAAAAAGGGGACCAAGGTCCAACCGCCATAGTTTCCCCAAATCATGTGGAAAACTGAGTAGTGTGGCATTTCTGCTGTAATCTTTATATGGATTGGATTATGTGTCGACTCCTTGATAAGTGACGAGCTAACAAAGTGCTAGTCATAACTGCCAAAGAAAAAAATGATGCCCTTAGATTTTCAGAACAATTGGCTACCATTTCCAATTGGGTTTTCAGTTAAATGCTAAAGCCGGATGATAACATCAATCTCATTTCAATGCAGCCGACTGCTTACTTTCACAAGTTCATATCCTTGCCAAGCTAATCAGGCCAGCTAGGAGCAGAACAATCAGGCTTACCACATACAATGAGCTGGATGCTATTGTTTTTATAATCAATAGCTTCCCAACGCACAGTAATCTTTCAATTACAGTCACATTCCACTTCCTCCTATTGCAGCAACTGCCAATCAGGGAGGTTGGCAGTTCGTAGCGTGTTTGCACCGTCCCACACAATGGCTGCAGACAAAAAACGCTCTTCGCAAGCTGAGGGGGTGTAAGACATCTCATTGCAACCCTGCCGAGACCCACCAAACACTAGCTGACTGTTGTGACTGAGCTTCCAACACATACGGCAATTAGACCCAACACTGGATGGCTCTCTTTAGTGAATGATGATGTGTTGATTCAGACCAGGGGATCTGCTAGGAGTCATGATGTAGTCGTGTGGAAAGTGAGTTCAGTGGAGGGATTCCACAGTAGTTCAGTAAAATATTCATTTTACATTCAGGACATTGACCCAACCAGGAATGCTGCAACAAGTTTCCTGAATCAAGTACTTTTGTTTTGAAAATTAAGGACTTCTAGATGCTCCAAATCACTATCAGGCTCATAAACTGGGACCTTATAAAGTATTTTTACAAGGGAATACCCGGTTTTACTCTACCAAAATAGAAAATTCCAGATGTATTCCATGTAAATCTAAACTCTATAGATTAAAGAGGAAAATTACACCATAGTTCACACTTTAGAGGAGGCATTTAAGGAAACTGGGATCTTACTTACGACCGTTTAAAAAGAAAAAAAAAGGTACCCTCGAGTATCTGGGAACAAGGAGACTCAAATCTCTCTAATAATAATTAGAAGAATTTACAGGTATTAATCAGCACTTTAACTGCAGTCAATTACGGGGTAAGTCTCAGAGTGGTAATTACAATCATCTGAACTCGTGATGTGGCAAAATGAAATGCCACTTGTTCGAAGACTAATGTAATTATGAGTTAAATTACACAGAAATCCTTCTTAATACAAGAGAAACTTAAGAAAAGCTTACCTGTGATACACTGAAACTGACCATCATCTCGCTGGATCGTGAAGGCCTCTCCTGGGTTTACCTGCACCAAGATTACCTGAAGAAAGCAAGAAAGATGCTGTTAGAGGAAACCAGTCTATTCAGACCACTTCAACTCTAAATCTTAGCTCAACACATTCCCTTATTTCATAAAAATGTACAAAAATGAACTGCTTGGATGAAAGACAACACTACACTGAATAATTGTGTGTGATTTGAATGGCTCAACCTGTGAGGGCTCTAGAAGGCTAAACTTCCTTCTGCCCTTATCTTAACCTCATCTAACGTCAGCACAGTGCTCCACGTGGCTCAGTTTTATTCCAGGCTAATATATCTAGCGTAAAAATGGCCATCATTCAGCCAGGTACAAACATGCTTCTATTACCCTTATTTTCTCATGGCTATACATAACTGACACGCAAATAGATGAAAACATACACATCCACTTCTGAGGGCAGCAGAAAATGGAAATATTGTTTACTGCTATGACGAAAATGCTCTGATTCCAAGAAAAAAGAAGGGGAAAAACAGGAATAAACACACATACATTCCAGCCATGGGGTGGCGGCAATGTGGTGCAAATACAAAGTTTTACTTTTTTTGTTGTTGTTGTTTTTAAACAAGAACAAATATGGAAGTTTCTGTTTCCTACGAGATCTGAGAATCAATAGAAATGTCATCAAAATTGATTTGTTATTGTCTTTGAGGCACTCTAAACTCGGTTTTCTGATCAATGACTGCGGCTCAGGGGAATCATGTGTGAATCTGACGCAGCTGAATCATGAAACAGCACAACCAATTTCATTCATAGTTTTAGCAATATCATCCACTCATAAACAGCACAAATCTATTTCCAAAAGGACAGTGAAGATTTAAATAACACAAAAACAAATTCACAATCTTTTGAACTCTTTCATAACATTCTAGAATATTATTGACAATAAAATGCTAAAAGACAGAAATAGCGAGACCTGGAGCTGGGCTCTTTGGACCTCTCAACTACACCAGCAACCACTCAAAACACCTTAAGGTGTGTATATATACATGCAGCATCTTTATTGCTTGTTGTCGCGACTCTCTGTACTGTAAGCACCACTCGTTACTATTGCTGTCACTTTAATGTTATTGGTAGACAGCATGTCTGGACATATCTTTAGATAATGAGATCACAGATGATACAGATTAAAGGTCAAAAATATTTACTCCAATTTGACTAGGAATTAGTTTTCTTTATTTTAATATAAAAGCAGCAGCGCAAAAATGCGCATTGCATCATATCATTAACCAGACAAAATCAGTGAACGAATTAAAATCACTAAGACTGACAACCATTTGTTTTCCATGCATCTCTTTTATTATAGCCATGTATATAGATAGAGACGAATAACACAGAATAACTAAGCTATAAACTTATTAATAGTCCTCACAAAAGACCTACAGATTGCACATAATGACAGGAACATGGCTCAATAAAGGTGATTTAAAATTTGACAGTAATTGTCTTGAAATTGATTATTTGCTCCGGTGAATTTACTCTAATGCTGTGGAACGTCACGACGATGCTGCTACATTTGCATTGTGAGGTTGTCAAGTCATGATACACGTTGCTGCCACAGTTAGCTCGGTAAAAGCATCTCCACACCTATACGCATCAGTGCTAAAACATTAAAGGTAAAAAATTTAAATAGTATTTGCTTCTCTGTCCTAGCTTGCTCGTACTCAAGATGGGAGACGTGTGAGTTCCACTGTCAAAGTCTTCGCTCTTTACTCAAACTTTTCTCGAATTTGCTGGACACGCCCACATGTGGTCGCCAGAGGTCGCTCGTGATGCCAGAAGTTGCCAGCTCTCATTAAAAAAAAAAATAATAATAATAATAAATGACATTAGTGTTGCTGGAATTTGCTACAGGTGTGGACGGGGCTTTACTGGCTATAAAACAGCACACTGGCAAGCACTCTAGTAACATGACAGCGAGTGCTGCATTGGTAGGGCTCCAGACTGCGACCAAATGGGTTGCGACCAAATTGTGAGGGGTCGCACTGGCGCGACCACCGCGTTGTCCAACTCATAAGCGTTGCCATTTCTGTTGCATTTGAGAAACATCAAACGGCAAACGAAAGCAAATTAAACCGCGCTGCGCACCGTTTATCAGCTCGCACCACGAAGTAAACAAACTTGTCCGAGCTCAGAACAGCTTTACTCGGGAGCCAAAGTTGATTTCACGACACTGATACAGAACAGCGCTGTGAGATCCAGCGAGAAGCGTTTGAATTCGCCGCACAATAAAAAATACATCAAATCACAATTATAACCAGTAGATGGCAGCAGAGGAGTACTTGTTGGCTTATTAGTCATTCATTTCTACAATTTCTCTATATTTTGAAATTATAAAATCACTATTATAAAATATAAAATCATCAAGAAATCAGATTGTGTCAGAATGTTACACTTCTTTGTGTATGAAGTAAGAAAAGTCACAAAGTGCCTTGAAAAACAAACTTTTCTTCAATTTGCTACTAAATCACACATAATCACTGAAGTTGGTCAGTTCCATATACTAGAAGAATAATGGTACATTTAATAAGAGTGGAATATATACATTTTCTATATAAAAAATAGATTTTGCAACTGTTACTGTTAATAAAAGTACATTTTGTATGCATCTTAACTCAAGCTAGTGCTTTACTGTCAAATCTGTATAAACAATAAACAAAAGAAAAATAAACAAGAAATGAACATGTAATATTATTAGTAACTGCACTTATTAATGCAAAACAATAGTAATTTTATGATTAAATTATCTATATTTTAATACTCCCGCACACCACCCCCAACGCTACCAAATCTGCTCCTGGTGCCACCATCTGTAGAACTTAGTGGCGCTGGTGCCCCTGCCCTCAAATGTTAGTCTGGAGCCCTGATTGGCAAGCACCACTTACATTTTCTTCAGAAATGTACCAATTTAGTCAATAATGCTTTAGTTGTTGTCATCCCATGTACATGTACACTAAGCTCCAAATATGTGCTATGAATTACTCATTGGTAATATGTCTGCCAAGTAATTAAATGTGAAAAACAAATTCAACTAAATTCAGGAAACTTTTGTACAAAAATGAATAGCTCAATCGTTGTGCTATATACCACCAAAATCCTTCTCTAAATAACAGGCCTCTGCAATACCACAAAACAAAGAAGGGCAAAGCAGGACTCCACCGTTCAAGAGACAGGATGCAAATCTCTGATATTAGATTACAAGCATGAATGATGAAGTGGAGAGGACAGCATCACTGGATGTGACGTCCAAACCCACGTCACTCGCATGGGTCTGAAGCGAGATGGAGAGGCAGGTTCAGCGCTCATCAGAGTACCACTTGTTCCATGAAATCGCTCTGAGTCAGTCTTCCATTGAGCTTTTGTTAAGGCACTATTGATGACACATCTGTCTCGGAGACGAGCGGGAGCACTGATCTATTTCAGTAGAGCAGGGGTCCTGATCTGAAAGCCTCCAGCAGGAAGTCATCAGACTGGTTGATTTTAAAACACATGCCACCTTGTTCAGCTCTCTCTAGTCTTTGGCTAAAGGTCTCAATGTTTGTGCCTTCCTCATGAAAGGATATGGAACGGGGTGAGTCACTTCAAAGGTGTGGATGAACCATGATAAATGTCATACCGAGACTGACAAAGGCACACTGATATCAATCAACAGGTAGAATAAACCCAGGGAAAGTGTAGAGTCCTAAAAATGTCATAGTGACATTCAAAAACAGTCAAAACCACATTGTTGAAAGCAAAAAGAGAAAATGACAAAAAAAAAATCAGCATCAGTTTTAAGTTGTTATAAATGTGTTCTCAAAAGAGTTGAACTCTTGAGAGAGAAAAAAAAAAAACCTGGAGCAAAAACAGCGCAAAAAACATGTCATGCCAAGAACAACAGGAACATGCTGCTCTCGCCTCAACCGAGGGTTAAGAACTGACGGTCCTTCCGGAGGCAAAAACCGAACCGAACTGAACTGAACGAAAGGACCTCAACCCCAGCCTCAAATCAACAGTGACCAGCTTTTGTGCACCTAATTCTGATCTAAAAGCCAACAGCACCAGTCTTTAGAACAATGAGGAAAAAAAGTCTATCAGCCTAACCTAAAAAAAATAAGCACAGTGTGCGTCTCAAAGAAAATACATTTGGCAGCAAGTGCCATTTATTTACCTCAGACTTGTGGTGGAAGTCACAGTTATAGCGCCTGAAATCCCACGGCTTGGGGCTCCAACTGCGGGTCTCCCCTAATACAGCCATCCTCTGTACTTCCGTCTCACTCTCGGTTCCCATTCATGAGTGCCACTGAGACACACCAGCTATTCCTTGACTGCTGCACACACACACGCACACACACACACACACACACACGAACGTGTTCTCGCTTGGCCACAAGCGCAGCGAAAAAGAGCGATGCATGAGCAACAGCACGCAACGATGGGGGTGGCTAAGGGAGGTCTTATTGAATTAGGTTCAAGCAGCTACATGCTGTTGCATTCACGTGTGTGGGCTCACAATTACTCGTTCTGCTCTACCTTGCTCACTCCTTTGTCTCGCAACACAGCTGGCTATCCTAGTTCCCCGCTCTCTCTGATATAAGTCTCATATACTGCATTATTGACACATTCTCCATGTCCCTTTCCTATGCCAGCATGCAGTTTTAGACAAAGCAATGTGTGTTTACACACACATATGTAAACAAAAAAAACATTGAATCTTCACTTACTGTAGCCCGCATCTCCCTCTCGTCCAGCCAAAGCTGCATCAACAGGCTGGCCGATATTTTAAGGTATCTGGTATCTGGTACCCTCCCTGTGCTCTGGGGGTCCGAGCCACCCTTCTCCGGCTTCACCCGGTGCTCATGAGATTGGAAGGACTGGGCGGTGTGCTCGACACCATGGGGGCCTGTGTGAACTCTTCACCCTCCTAAGCAAAGCCCCGGCGAGAGGAAGGGATAGAGGTCTCGCTTAAGTGCGCTGGCTGGAAGCCGTTCACAAGATAACAGGAGCGAAGCCCATGTTTGCGCTCTCCCCTTCTCTTTTGTTAATCTCTCGTTCTGCTCTCTCTGCAGTAGATGGATGACTCTCTCTCCCTCTTCTCTCTCTTTCTGGCTCCAACTCTGCCTCGCCACCACCGCCAGTCTCCACGGCAACCCCTTCAACAAATAAGCCCTGGCGATGTCCGCAGCGCGCCACCAATGAGGAGGACAGCTAATCGCCCGTGTTCTGCTCACAGGGGGAGGAGGAGAACGAAAAGGAGCGAGGGAGGAAGGCCACGGACGAGTGGACACAATTGCTCTTTCCTTTGTGGGTCTGTAATTCTCACCTCTCCCTCTGTGCCATTCTGGCATTGACTCGTGACTGTTCTGTCGCGAGTGTTTGTGTGTGAAAGCGAGTGAATATGGATGTCGTCCAGACTTTACAACACACCTTCAGGTAGTGCCAAGTACTGAACTGGCATGGATCCAGTAATTAAACACAAGGATAGGGGTCCTCAAGTTATCCACATCTCCTTTGTTCAGCGTTTTGCTTTGGTGACGACAATAGTAAGGGGGCACATAGCGACATGCGCTCATTCACCGACAGACACTCACGCACATCCTCCCTCCCCCTCTAAGAATCTGTCATTCTTTCTATTCTCCATTCACAGAGCGACGCTGCTTCTATTAATACCATGATCGATGCACAAGGAAATGAAGTTGAGGTAATGTAACCGCTTCTTTGGTGTGGAGGAGCACCTCAGCCCTCACCTCTATTACAGCAGTGTGATTTGGTCTATCGCTGGAGGAGACAGCATGGAAAGAGAGGTGTGAAAGGTAGCCACATCAGTGTTTCCCCACAGACTTACACTTTATGTGTGGCGGCACTTCCCGTGGGGGAAATATATATGTATATAATGTAAATATAAAGCACAAGACGGGCTTATTGAAAGTGCAAATTCATTCTCTGCCAGCAGGAGGCGCTTTAAGAGCAGCAGAAAAGCGGTTTCCCCGGTAACGGTTGTAATCAAAACAGAGCTGCGCTCATGAATGCTACTTTATCAGACATTATAGGAAAGATGAAATGAAACAAAACTTTTCTGAATACAATCGGTTCCTTCAAAAAAAGATACATTTATATAAAAACTCCTGTGCCTCGTTTTGATTTTGAAACATGCAGTGCTCATGTTTATTCAACGAAGTCAAAGCATTTTGAAAAATCTATTTGCGGCGGTCAGTGTTGATATTGTGGCGGGCCGCCACAAATAAGTCAATGTAAGGGAAACCCTGCACATAAATAGTAGTAGGGTTGGGTATCGCTTGAATTATATCAATTCCGATTCCGCTTATCGATTCCGATTCTTTTCGATTCCCAGTTTCGATTCCAATGTGATTAAATAATGATATCAAACATTTATCCTGTGTCTCTTTTTTGCAAACCATTTATTTGAGCTGAATACCATGAACAAAAATCAACAGGCTACATAAAAACTGGACTCTTTAAGAGATGTTTGTGTGCAAAACAGAGCTGCATGATTCTGGATAAATTTAGTTTTTTTTTTCCCTTTTTCTTTTTTCCCCCAATGGAAGTTGTGGTTCTCTCATGATTCTGAAGAAAAAAACATTAGACAACTAAACAAAATCACATGTAATTTATGAATTAATTAATAAATGACTCACTCAAGATGTACTTGTTTCATTACTGGATGAATCCGCGTTCTTGAACGAATCTCTTGTGATTCAAAGACAAATACATTTTAACAGCCCCTTTTCGCCACCTACTGGCGTAACAATGTAATCGATAATCTTCATTTGTAGCATCAAATTATTTTCAAAAGGTGATTTATTCTATTTGAATTGCTAACATACACATTGTACACACAGTTTATATCTGAACTATAAACATTTATCCCAGTACTTCTGTGATTTGAATGTTTGTAACACAGAAATAATGATACTGTGTGGCTGAAAAGACTGTGAAAGTGCTTTGTCATGTTGGTGGTGACACCTCTCTTGCAACATGTTTAGCTATCACAGATATTATACTTATTTTTGGCTTCTGATCGCAAATGTAGCCAAACTTTGGAGCGCTTGAGATTAGCGA